CACACACACACACACACACACACACACACAGACATATGACATACAGACACAGACAGGCACATCATACATACATATACACACCACACCACACAGGCACACACAGATGGACAGACACACCATATACAGCTACACATGACATATGCACAGAGACAGACATACACAGACACAGATAAGACACACACTCCATACACCAGACAGACAGACAGACCATGCTCCTTTCTTAGGGAAATCAGCGTGCTTCAGGAGTTAACTAGGAAATGACTGCCGCCGGGAGTAAAGACACAGTTCTAAAGCCTCAGGAGTGGTGGGTGTGAGGGTGCATCGGCAGAGCAGCTGCCTGAAGTCGTGCAAGACTCGGGCTCCATCAGCTCCACAGCAGCCAGAGCCCAGCTGGACCATCTACATTCCTTGATAGATCGCGGCATTAGAATCTCTCCCCTTCTCTGGTTTCTACCACTGCCAAATCCCAGCCTCTGCCTGGTGATGGAGGGAACAAGGAGGGGTGTGTGACGAGAATGGGGCCGCTCCTCTAGTCTTGTGGAACCCAGGTCTTCTGTGGGCTGCTCTGGCCTCTCTGGGGTCAACACAGTCCTCATACAGCCATCTCTCTCCTCAGAGTTGCAGTCTTGCTGTTTTTGACTTATTACCATAGTCTGAAAATATTAAATGGAAACTTCCAGAAATAAATGGTAAGTTTTCAAAAACTTGGAAGCTAGGCATTGTGGTGCATGCCATTAATCACAGCACTTGGGAAGTAAAGGTAGGTGGATCTCTGTGAGTTCCAGGCTAGCCAGGGCTACTGAGTGAGATCCTGGCTCAATCGCAATTTATTTGTCTTTATTTTGTGTGCATGATAGATGTTTGGTGGCTGGCGGGAGGATGAGGATGGAGATGCCACAGGATTTGTGTGGAGGTCAGAGGGCAGTTTTGTGGAGTTGGTTTTCTCCTTCCACTTTTAGGTGGGTTTTGGGTATTAAACCAGGGTGTAAGGAGAGAATGGGGGGTGGGGGTGGATGGGACAGGTTTATGTGGCAAGTGTTTTTACCTGCTGAGTCTTTCCATTTTTATTGCTGCCATTATTGTATTACTTTATTTTTGTTTTTATTTTTGAGACAGGGTTTCTCTGTGTAGCCTTGGCTGTCCTGGACTCACTTTGTAGCCCAGGCTGGCCTCAAACTCACAGAGATCTGCCTGCCTCTGCCTTCCTCAGTGCTGGGATTGCAGGCATGCGCCACCACCATGCTGGCTTGTTGTTTTACTTTAAATATGATTTTGTGTATCTGTCTGGGCTTGACTTTGATGTACAGTTGAGGAGAACCTTGAACTTCAGCTGCTCCTGACTCTTTCCTGGGTTATAGAATTCCACAACTTGTAAGGGTTTTTTTTGTTGTTGTTGTTTTAACTCTTATAATGTTATAATTGTCCTGCTTTGCTATAATTGTTATGTCTTACTGAGGATAGCTTTTATTTTTTTTCTTTGAGATAGTGTTTCTCTGTGTAGCCTTGGCTGTCCAGGATTCACTTTGTAGACTAGGCTGGCCTCAAACTCACAGAATTCTGCCTGCCTCTGCTTCCCCGAGCATTGAGATTACAGACGCGCACCACCATGCCCAGCTCTTTCTCTTTTTCTTTTTTGGGCACTCATGTCTTAAACACAAAGGTGAGTCCTTCTGTGACAAGTCACTTCAGGCAATATGGCTTTTTCCCAGGCGGGTAGAGAAAGGCAGGAAGATACTGAAGCAAGAATCCTGGCCATGAGTAAGGCAAGAGGGACTCCCCTTCTACCCAATCCTGCTGACCCTGTTGGTGTCCTTTATCTGAACAGACAGACGTTGCCAACCTCAGCCATACCCAGCGAGCGCCAGACAATGAAGCCCTTCCTGCTCCCTCTCTTTGCCTCCCTCTAGTATTAAAAGCCAAGGCGTCTCACCAGATCCAGGTCGAAGCGAATAAACTCCAGCCCAGACACCAAGGTCAGGAAGAGAGTCAGGTGATCATGGCTGCAGACCAGGGCGTTCCTGCCAGGCAGAAGAAACAGCGCCAGGACTGCTGAGTCTGTTAAGCAGCCTGGCTCCCCATACCAGAGAGCCCATCCTGCTGAAGTTGGACACGTGATGGCGCACCCCTGGATGGCACCCAGCTCATTCAGCCATGCCCCAATCTCCTGCTTCTCCTGTTCCCTTTTGGCTGCGAATTTTGCCAGTGTCTGCAGAGACAGGCCTGGAGCATAAGGCTTCTCAAGCTCTCGGTGGCTGCCATAAGCGCTCTGTCCCTAAAGTGTCCCCAGCAAAGGGAAAGGCAAGCATTGGGTGTCTAGTCAGTCTGAGGCCTGGGCAGACACCAGACTGTTCACACAGCCCAGCTGCCATGGAGGAAACCACAGATGGCCAGCATGACTCTGAGGCTCTCTGCCATCACTGTCAGGCCCTCAGTATGTGACACCAAGCTAAGCCTCTGTCTATGTGACAGGAGGCTTTGGGTTGAGGTTTAAGGAGCTGGGGACCAGGCAAGACACTGTTCCAGACACTCACCTGACGTAGTACTTCTGAAGCAGACCCAGGTTCTCCTGGAACAGACGCAGGTAGCTCTCCAAGGAATTCTCATTGAGAGCCAGGTAGAGCCAGGCGCGGCCTGCAGAGAGTAACTCAGTAAGTAAGGCAGGAGTGGCTCAGCCGCTGAGCAGCTGCTGTTCATTTGCCAAACGAAGGCCTGTGAGGAACTAGGTAACCAACAGCCCTCAGGCCTTAGCTTGTGATCAGCCAAGAAAGGCACAGTGATGGTGGTGGTCGATGCTTTGTGAGCTATTCAAGGATGCTGTCCTGACGCTGCAGGCTAGCGGTTTCTTTTTCTTTCCTTTTTTGTTTTGTTTTTTCGAGACAGGGTTTCTCTGTGTAGCCTTGGCTGTCCTGTTCTCGATTTTGTAGATCAGGCTGGCCTTGAACTCACAGAGATCAGCCTGCCTCTGCCTCCCTGAGTGCTGGGGTTACAGGCTTGTGCCACAGAACTAGGCCGCTAACACAATTTCTCTCTCTTGCACTTGGCCTGGGACTCCAAAGGAGTCCTTGTGCACCACGCTCCCCTTCACCTCATCAGTGACACACCCACAAACTGTCACATGCCGGGAAAGAAACGGAGGTTCTGTGGAAGGTGCTGGCATTTCAGTCCCCGCTGCCACTGGTCACTACGAGGCAGACAGCTGCCTCAGGCTGACCTGGGCTGGACCTGAGCCCCAAACTCCCCATAGGGAGAGCACAGCTGGCCCCTGGTTCTACTCACTGCGCCCCAGGTTGGTGGCCACATGTTGCAGCACCTCGATTTGCTTGATGGCCTCTCTCCGGGTGAAATGGACCACAAGCACCCAGTAGCCGGAGGACAGGTCTTGCAGTCTGTGAGGAAGGAACAGCAGAGCTGGGCCTGGGTCGGGCTGCCTCAGGCAGCCACGTGCTTTCATTCCATCCCCGCCCCAGGTGCTTTCGGGCAGCCTGTCTGAGTGAGACAGGGCTCCTCCGGTGAGTTGACAAAGACGAGAGGCAGGCAAGGGCTGAGCGTCTCTCTGGAGGGCCTCTTGGCCCCTGCGCCTGGCTCCATCAACCCCCGGAGCAGCCTGCACTCACCCGTACAGCAGGGCATGGTCCAGGTGCTCACACAGGCGTTGCAGGACCTTGTCATGGTTCCGAATGGCAGGGGTCTCATCCTCACACGCTGCAAAGTAGCTCTGTAGCTGGAAGGAAGAAGATGCTGTTCAGGAGAGCCCCGGGCACATGGTGTCCTGCGAGGTTAGCAGGGTCAGCATTTGTGAATGCCCTACTCAGTGCTGACCTTGCCCTCGAGGCTCCCGGGGACAAAGGCTCTCAGGAGGGCTTTGCATAGACAGCTCTGTGCTGGTAAGGGGTGTCCAGCTCACAGTGTTGGGTGCCAAGCTTTGGGGCAGGGCCATAGGCTGAAGTTGCTGCCTGGGTGGCACACACAGTGGTGTCTGTATAAGTCAAGCATGCACAGTCCAGACACACACACGTGTGTACACACACACACACACACACACACACACACACACACAGCCTACTGGTAATGCCTGAAGGCCTTTTAAAAAAGACACCCAATCAGCTTTTTAAAAAAGTCATTTATTTAATGTGTAGGCTCTGCTTGGAGCTGCCCTCTGTACACACCGAGGCCTGAAAGGCTGGTGGGTCACCTGCTCCGATGGCTTTCCTGCCAGAGGCTGACATGGACATTGAATGTGCCTGAGAAACATGGCCAGATTGCGGTGTGTGCCAGGTTCATGTCAAGCCCTATGCCAAGAAGGACACTGTTCCCAGGGCTGGAGAAAGGGACAGGGAGAAGGAGGAAGGGAGGGGAAAGGAGAGAGAGGAGAGAGAAGGGGAAGGAAGAAGACTGAAATCACAGAGGAGGCATCCTGAAGCATCTCAGCCCACCAGGCTGATGTAGGCAGGGAGCTCAGCCTCATCGACCCTCCGTCCCTGCCACCTTTCCAGGGGCCCAGATGGAAAAGGCAAGGCAGGAGCAGCGATCCCTGAATGCTGGGGTGGGTTGAAGCTCCGGGCCACTAAGTTCTCAAGTGTTTTCTGGAAGCGGCAGCCGAGATGCATCAGCCACACCGGGAGCACGTGTTGCTGGAGGGAGGCCAGCCATTCAAGGCTGCAACAGAAACAGCCTCTTCTCTGTGACCCGGAGCAAGCCCAGCAGCCTGGCTGACCAGAGAACGTCAGTCCCGAAGGGTCAGCCCCCTTCTCCTGCAGGCAGAAGGGGCAGAGAGAGGAAAGCCTTCTAGAGGGGTCATATGGACTAGCCCACGATGTGGCACACTGCCTTTTGGCAATGGCTGAAGGTGTTTTGTTTTTGTTTTAAATGATTTCCAGCTGGCTACTTTAAACTTTATTTATTTATTTAATGTATATTCGTGCTTTAGCTATATGTATGTCTGCGCACATGTGTGCCTGGTGCCCAAGGTGACCAGAAGAGGGCACCAGATCCCCTGGAACTGAAGTTACAGGTGCCTGTAGCCACCATGTTGGTGCTGGGAATTGAACTCAAGACCTCTTCAAGAGCAGCCAGTGCTCTTAACCCCTGAGCTATCTCTCCAGCCCCAACTTTAGTGTTACATCACACTGTTACCTCAGTGCCAAGCTATGCTCTCTCAGTCTTCTATCTCTGTCTACACCAAGACAAGGTCTCACTCTATACCTCAGGCTGGCCTCAAACTCATGATCCTCCTGCTTCAACCTCCCATGTGCTGGGACTAGAGGTATGCACCACCACATCTGGTCTGCTTGCCATTATTATATTATTATTATTATTATTATTATTATTATTATTATTATTATTATTATTATTATTCACAGGGTCTTACGGTATAGGTCTGACTGGCCTGGACTCATCAGGTCATGGTGGTTTGAACTTACAGAGGTCTGCCTGCCTCTGCCTCCAGAGTGCTGGGATCAAAGGTGTGTATCACCACAACAGCTTTTTTTTTTTTAAAGACTTATTTATTTATTAGTCATACAGTGTTCTATTCTGCCTGCACATAGGCCTACACACCAGAAGAGGACACCAGATCTCATTATAGATGGTTATGAACGACCTTGTGGTTGCTGGGAACTGAACTCAGGACCTTTGGAAGAACAGCCAGTGCTCTTAACCGCTGAGCCATCTCTCCAGGTCCTCACCAGCTTTTTGATTGACTTCCTGTAGTTCTTTGTTGTTGTGTATTATTGTCTCCAGAGCTTTTCTTCCCCTGTTGAGAAAATCTTCATTTCACATACTCAAATTTGTCAGTAGTTTCCTTGAAAGGTTCTTGTCGTCCTCCCCACCCCGTTACGTCTTTCTTATTTTCAGTGTTCACTTCGTGTATGGATGTCATGTATGTGTGCGCTACATGTACTCACGTACACGTGTGCCTATGCTCCGGCACAGAGGCCAGAGAAAGGGTTACATGTTCTCCTCTACCACTCTCTGCCCTATTCCTTTCCTCGCCTGAACCTTGAGCTCATGTTTTCAGGCTGGGCTGGCAGCCAGCAAGTCCCAGCAATCCTCCTGCCTCAGATCCTTAGAGCAGTGGTGCTGCAGCTGGGTGTCAGGCCATGCCTTGCTTAAGTAGGTGCTGGGATCTGAGCTCAGGGTCTCAGGGCTCAGCTCAGGCTCCCTTCCAGCCCTTCTCTTATTTACTGGGTGCTGCTGACCACCGAGTCCACGCTAGGCAAGGCACAGCCACTGGAGAGGCTCGGTCGCTGACCACCCACCTCTCCAGCCCTTTGTCTGTGCTTAGGTCTTTGAGCATGAAGTTACGGGTCACTCCAGATGGGTGACCCATTTTCTCACATTCATTGATGGCCCAGCCTCTTTCCACCCGATCCACAAGTCAACGTGCCTTTTCTCAGGGGACTGGGCTAAGGTTGCCAGGTTTGGTGGCAAGCACCTTTACATGCTCAGCCACTTTGTGACCTCAAGCCATCCTTCTACAATCAATCCATCACCATTCCATTTTGGATTAAAAAAAAAACTATTTTATGTGTGTGGGTGTTTTGCCTGCAAATATGGTTGTATAAACAGTTGTGAGCCCATGTGGGTGCTGGGAATGGAACCCGAGTCCTCTGGAGGAGCAGCCATTGATCTTAACTGCTGAGCCATCTCTCCAGCCCTGAACCCAGAGATTGTTCACGTGGCGAGATGGTGTCTCTCAGTAGCCAGTCTTCCCACCCGGGGAACACGGGCTCCTTCCTCATCTCTCAGGCCTTCCTTTATACCCTTGGGAAAGCTGACTGCTCTCTTCAGATACGTCTTGCACATATCAAGGTGAGCTGCAAATCTACACGGTGCCATGACTCAGAGAGCAATCTGCAACCACAAAACCATTTTCAGAAAGAAGGAAACCAAAGCACAGCCCAGCTCAGCATGAAAGGCCCTTGCTAACAAGCCTGATGACCTCAGTTCAGTCCTCCAAACCCGCAAGGTAGACGGAGACAAACAACTCTCCTAAGTTGTCCTCTGAGCTCCAGACATATGGCACAGAATGTGTGCACCCCACACACAAAATAAATAAAAACACATAATAAAAAAACCATAGGAAAGCAGATGGCAATGGCACGGAAGGCTGAGGCGGGAAGCAAGAGTGCTACCCTGGCACCGCCACCCAGCGGCACACCCTCAGAAAGTTACTGGGCGCTTACTCATTTTCTCTTCTTTAAAATGAGTTAAAAGGGAGTCAGGTGGCGGCGGCATCGTACACCTTTAATCCCAACACTCCGGGAGGCAGAGTCAGAAGGAGCTCTGTGAGTTTGAAGCCAGCCTGGTCTACAGAGCAAGTTTCAGGACAGCCAGGGCTGCACAGAGAAACCCCATCTCAATTTAAAAAATTAAAAAAAAAAAAAAAAAAAGTTAAAGGGCCTTTTTGAGCTGAGCTGCCCAGTACAGTCCCTGCTGGCCTTATGTGGTTATGAAGTTAAATTACGTCAACGGGCTGATGATGCAGTTGCAGTGACAGCACACTTACCTAGCATGCACAGGGCCTGAGCTCAATCCGCAGCACCATACCTAATGCACACTTTTAAAAAGAAAATGTAAGGGGGCTGGAGAAACGGCTCAGAGGTTAAGAGTACTGGCTGTTTTTCCAAAGGTCCTGAGTTCAATTCCCAGAAACCACATGGTGTCTCATAACCATCTATAATGAGATCTGGTGCCCTCTTCTGGCGTGCAGGCATACATCCAGGCAGAACACTGTAGAAGGAAGGAAGGAAGGAAGGAAGGAAGGAAGGAAGGAAGGAAGGAAGGAAGGAAGGAAGGGGAAAAAGAGAAAGAGGAAGGAAAGAAAGAAAGGAAGGAAGGAAGGAAGGAAGGAAGGAAGGAAGGAAGGAAGGAAGGAAGGAAGGAAG